GATTATTACGAGAACTTGATGATAAAAGTTTATCATTAAAATCAGAATGTTCAACAATTGCAACAAAATATCAACAAACAAAATCTCATGATGAAAAATATAATTTAATTCAAACATTAAATGATTTACAATCTCGACGTTTATTACATGCCAATGAAAAAATAACATTAGCTAATCAAGCATATGAAATGGTTGAAAAACATATACGTCGTTTAGATGATGTACTTGAAGAATTAGCCGCACAACCACAAATAAATTCAATAAATAATCGAAAGAAAAAACGAACAATGTCAACGAATGATGATATAAATTCAAATAAAAAACGACGTAAATTAGATAAACCATTAAATCAAGTACAAAATAAAACATCTGTTAAAAAGAAAGAACAACAAGAATTAACAAAAATTGAACCTGTTGGTTTAGATTTATTTCCAATTGATCCATATGAACCACGATATTGTATATGTAATCAAGTATCATTTGGACGTATGATTGCATGTGATAATCCACACTGTCAAATTGAATGGTTTCATTTTGCATGTGTTAAACTTGAAGAAGAACCTAAAGGAAAATGGTTTTGTGAGAAATGTCGATCAATATCAAATTAATTAAAGAAATATAGAAATATCTCCGTATTTAAAACAAAGAATATATTGTCTTTCTTCTTTTTTCCTTCTATTATGTATTATTGTTATTCATTGTATATAAATACTTTATTTAATAGAGAGTAAATATATATATATATATACAACCCTGTTGCAATGGTCTTTACATTCAATTTTTAATCGCTTGTTTTGGCAGTTTTTATTTTAAATATATTGAATTTCAAAACAAATGAATATTTAAGGAAAATGTTTATTGAGAAAGTTATTTGAAGTGTGTAATTCGTTTATACTTATTTGATCCTCCTGTAAAAAAAAAGAATATTCTTTGGAGTTCTTCCAAAAAAGATATTTATTTCAATTTGTTTCTTTTTTGTACTCAAAAAATCCATATAAACAATAGAAATGAACAATTATAATTTATAAAAAGAAAGAATAATTGCGATTTTGATTCTAAAAGCAACTAATTATGTCCACGTCTAACAAATAAATGACTTTTTCATCAACAAATGTATGTATTTGACTGGTTACTTTTTGATTGTGATAAGCTTTTGCAGTGCAGAATTTTCCACTAGATTATATACTTTTTGGTCAAAGATAGAAGTTGAAAATAAAAGCTTATTGAAAAATCGACATGTTCAAAAGCAAAGAGTTACTAAGAGATAAATATAGCCATGCACAGAACTCGAACGTTCAGGTCCGGTTTTGAATGTGGTCAATTATTTTTAGTTAATTAATAGAAGAAATCAGGAGTAAATCAAAGGATAGGATTTCAGGCTTGCTTATGGTAGGTCTACACAGTGTAAAAAAACCGAAGATCTGCAGACATCTTAAAAAAGGTCGACAGTGTTCAGATATACTCGAATCCGAATTTAACAGAACCTTAGAATACTTCCAGGATTACCAATATGTATCAAAAAACGCTTGGGTGATTACTCAAATCCCGAACACTGTCTGAACTAACTGAATATATTTCTGAACCCGAACGCCGAGTCGAAGTTCGGGTTCGATGTATACCTAGGTATTTTTAAATAGAAATTTCAATATCTATTGCCCACACGCACTGCATTCTGACATGTTTATTCAAACAAAAAAATAATAAATATATAGGCTGAAGACCACAGAGAATTTTTAAAAACGAAATGAGCTATTTTTTGACCTTTGTTTGATCGATATCTCTCTCGAACGCCATGATACAGGGTCGAAAATTTTAGATTAATAAATTTACGTGTTTGTTTTCAAGTTCATTATGATTCATATTAAATATTTCTCGATATTGTTAACATCATAAGACAGTGCAATTCTTTTTCAATCGTAGATCAAGAGTCGTGTAAAATATTTTCGTGTTCTTTGGTAATTCACCTCTGCGAAGTCATTCGATATCGATCTCCAATCTAGGTTGTTCACATAAGATACATTTAACAAATTTAGTAAAACGTAGAAGGATGTTTTATTGATACACGGTTGTTGATGTCATTCCTCGATGACATTATTTGATCGCGGCAAGTCTTGTGTAACACGCTCGTAGACATTGCACACCATATCTTCAAATCGCGATGATTTACTAGACACAAGGATGTCTACACAATCTCTATTTTTGCATAACATTAAGTATTGATCTTTGTGAAGTTATAAGATGAAAAATGAATGGAACATCTTTATTTTAATTCAGTGATGAAAAATAGAACTGATAAAAATGCAATAATAATCAAAGCCAAGATTTAGGTGCAAACTCTGATTTTTTTAAAAAATATGTTTTCAAATTTTTTGAACAATGGTTAAGATAATAGATAGTGATTGACATAAAAATTTTGATAACGAACAAGATAATAACGAATTAATTTGGAAAATATCAACAAATTAAATTTGAATCAATAAACCAAAATTATTCAATATAGATCGAAACAAAACTTATCAAGTTCAATACGAGATCCAACGACTGGAGTCTATCGGGCTCGGATCCGACAGGCTCTACTAACGACTGACATTTTACACTCGAAAAGTAAAAACAATGTTTGATTTTTAGTTCAATGTTTTCAGTTCTGCTCGTTTGATTGTATTAAAAGAACAGTAGATCATTTTTACCTTGTAAAAAAAAACATCGATGTAAAAATAGAAAATGAACTTAAGTTGAGCTGTTTTTTCATGTGCTTGACATGTGCAGACCTCAAAACATGTCTATATCACATGATTTTCTTTCCCAAAATACTTAAGTATTTCATGAGCATGAAAGACAAAGGTCTACTAGAGGTTTTAATTTATTTAATTTTTATTTTCTTAAATTTATATCTATAATCATTATTTTTAAAATTATTTTCAATCAAGCAAAAAGAAATATTCAAAAAACAGGAGAATCACTGTAAATGACAAGTTTGTTGCAAAGATGATGGTTGTTTTTTTTCTTCATCAATCGATTCATTCATAATTGTTACGTCATTTTCTGAATCTTGTTTGATTTTTTCTATAGCTAAATCTAAGCGTTGAGCTTCACGTCGTTGTTTACATGATTCAGCCTTATTTAAATAATGTGAGATCTGTATAAAAAGCAAAATTCTTAGGAAAATAAAATAGAATAATATATAATTACCACATTACGTAAGACTTTGATCTTTGTTGGATCTGTTTCAGCTGTAGATGAAAAAATAAAAAATACTTCAATAAAAAAAAA